ATTTTAAAATGAATGTGATATCTACCACTATTTGTACACCGTCAACTTAAAATGTAGCTGCAGAATTTTTTTTATTCCGAAACAAATTTTCATTATATTTATTTTAAAGTCTCAAATGAAAACCAAACACTGCTAATTAAATTTTAAAACAATTTAGATAGTTTCATTTGTTTCTGCAGAATGCTACAAAATTAATTGCACGATAGTAAATGATGCATTTAGACTTCTGACTGTATCCTGAGCTGAATATTTTCCTTTTTCCTTTATTTTTTCTTTTCTATTAATTGCATGGGCAGATGGAGTCAGCTGACTTTGAAAGGCACATTCTAAAGTTGAAAAATAAATTATTAACATACTAATTTGGTCCATTGTAACTTGTAAGTACGAGGTTCATGGGCCGCTTTTTTAAAGCCCAGGCCCATGGGCCGGTCTAAAAGTAGTCATTTCCCTATTCAACTTTTAAAAATTGTTGTTTTTGCTAAAGTGGGTGTATACTAAATAGTTTGTCGATATAATAACGAATATAAATGAGAGCATGATTGGATATAAATTTGTTTTTGTTTTGATTGGATTTTTGATTTGGGTTGGTTAAATTTGAAAAAGTAGGTATGGTTAGTTGTTAGTGGATATAATAAAATAATATTTAAAATAAAATGATTAAAATTAAATTGATGTAAAAGTAAGAGAGAGAAGATATGATGTGATAGTTAGTTAAATTTATGTGAGTAGATGAATAGTGAATTAAGGTTGATGTTGTGTATAAGAATGATTGATTGATATTATTTAATTATATTGATAATATTAATGATAGTGGGTTGAGTTAAAAAAAGTGGTTGAGTTAAAAATGAAAAAAAAAATTGGATTGAACTTGTATCCAATCATGCTCATTAGTTATTCAAATGATTAATTATTCATTGCTTGTCATACAGGGAATGTGTTGACAGCAAGTGGGCACATAATAACAGCTGTAATAGGCTCGGGCGTGTTAGCACTTGCATGGGCCATTGCTCAATTGGGCTGGATTGCTGGGCCCATTGCCCTATTGGCCTTTTCTGTGATTACTTGGTTCACTTCCATCCTATTGGCTGATTGCTATAGGTCAAGTGATGGCAAGAGAAATTATACCTACATGGAAGTTGTCAAATCCCATTTAGGTCAGTCAAATTATATTTGATTTATAGTTGAAAATCTGGAAAAATCATTGGTTATGAGAACACTCTTCATTTATACTAGCTATAAGTCTAAAACATTTGAAATTAGAATATATTGGTTGGGATAAGTACAATATATGCATGTAATGTTGAATTAAATGCAAAATGCAGGAAGTTCAAGAGCTCACCTTTGTGGGATTGCACAAAATAGCATATTTTTTGGTGCAAGTGTAGGATACACAATCACAACATCTATAAGTATGGTGTAAGTACATAAACAATTACTTGTGTAAGCCAATATATATTTCCATTTTATCATGTCTTGTGATGTAAAACAAAAACAAAGCATTCATATATGCATAATATGTTAATGTTTAATTAGCAATTTAAGTGAAACAGGGCCATGAAGAGATCAATTTGCTTCCACAAACAAGGACACGATGCTGGCTGTCACGTGTCGAACAATCCTTCGATTATGGCTTTTGGATTAATACAATTATTGCTAAGCCAAATACCAAATTACGAAAAGCTCACATGGCTTTCTCTGCTTGCGGCTGTTATGTCATTCGCGTACTCTTCTATTGGACTTGCTCTCTCTATAGCCAAGATTGCAGGTTTGTAACATATAAATGGAAATAATCATTTTGTAACTTGTCCCAAATGTACATGTTTTATGATCAAATGCTGCTTGTTCTTGATTTAATTTGTTTCAAATTATTCGAGAAGAAAATAGATATGCATATGAATGTGCAGTGTTTTTGTAAAATACAGAAGACAGAGGACATGTGGAGAGTAGCCTTACAGGAATACCAATGGGAGCAAATATGTCAGGCATGGAGAAGATGTGGAATACCTTTAATGCCCTTGGCAACATTGCATTTGCTTATACTTTCTCCCCTGTCCTCATAGAGATACAGGTACCTCTACATGTTCTTTGAGTACACGAAAATATATAAGGCTACGTTTCTTTTTTTTTTTTTTTTAGTAAAATATAAATTGTCATTGTTTAGGACACAATAAGATCAGGAGTCCCAGAAAACAAAGTGATGAAAGAGGCGACTCTAATCGGAATCTCGATCTCCACAGTCTTTTACATGTTGTGTGGGGTTTTAGGATATGTCGCGTTTGGCAATAATGCCCCTGGAAATTTCCTTACCGGTTTTGGCTTTTACGAACCTTTCTTGTTGGTCGCTTTCGCTAATTTGTGCATCGTGGTCCATCTTGTCGGAGCTTATCAGGTAAAAAAACATTTATTAGCACTAACTATTGTGTATTGTTAGGTACTTAATTATCTTTTCTTACAATATTCTTGTATGTTGTGAAGGTATTTGCCCAGCCACTATATATATTTGTGGAGAATTGGAGCAAAGAGAAATGGAAAGGAAATAAGTTCATCAATGCAGAATTCCCCATTGCTTTCCCATTTTGCGGTAGATTGAAAGTGAGTTTATTCAGGCTCGTTTGGAGGACGATTTATGTCATTTGCACGACGGTTTTGTCAATGATATTTCCCTTCTTTAATAACATCGTGGGGTTGATTGGGGCTTCCGCATTTTGGCCATTGACCGTTTATTTTCCGATTGAGATGTACATTGCGAGGTCGAAAATCGCGAGATTCTCTTCCAAATGGATTTTGATGCAGACGATAACTGTCGTTTGTCTCATTGTGTCTCTTCTTGCGATTGCTGGCTCGATTGAGGGTCTTGTGACCTCTGTTAAGTCCTTCAAGCCTTTTCATTCTGTGTCTTAAACTGATTGTGGTTTATACCAGAATACTATGGTTTTTGTGGTTGAAACATCCAGTTACAAAATATGTTTTTAAAGCACCATCTCCTTATGTTATCCATCCTCTTTTACCGATTTAATATTGATCCATGAGTATAAAAATGTCGGAACTAATTTTGGTCCATTAACTCAACGGGGAAGTGACTTGAGGAAATTAACTATATTCTACTTTATTTTATTTTTAAAATTTTCTAGTTTGACTAATAACTAAAGTTCATTGTGAACTATGTTTCACTTTATTTTAATATTTAAAATTTGGTCTAGTTTGAATAATAACTAAAGTTCATTGTAGCCCAAAATAATGCGGTTATGAGAATAAATAACACGGTGTTATTACTCAATTCAGTTATTGGTTCTACCAAATAGAGGTCATGTTTGACTACTAGTAGTTGATTGTATTAACAGAAAATAGTTGATTAGACTAACAAATAGTTATATAACACGGTGTNCTTTCTCTACCCATAATCCTCATACATTGATTTTTTTTTTTTAGAATTAGAGCTTTGGAAAAAAAAAATGACGAAATAAGTTCTTTACTAAACAAATCAATTATCGTGTTCGAAGGGTCAAACCTCTAAACGAGGTTGAATCTGTTAATTTTACTTTAGCTGGCGTCCAACAATTGTATATATTGTAAGTCCGACCTTTATTTATAATATCTTCATTAGAAATAAGCGGATTATGTATATTATGTGTAGTACGTGGATAAAAATATTTTCCAGTATATATAAAGTATGTTTATTGTTTATTTAAATTATATTTTTCAATTTCAATATACATTGTTGATTTAAATTACACTTGAAAAGGTGTGGAGGAGAAATTAGAATGTGCAGTTCAATACAAGAATACAATTATAACAAATTGTTGTTTAAGCGCATTCTACTACTCCTTAGAACTATTCCACTACCAAATCAGTTGTGCGCACAATGTATAGAGTAAAATTTACAGATAAATGACTCTCTCCAACTCTGCCATAACTATACTTGATCCTACTAATTGAACTTCAGTGACATCCATGATATGCAAGACTCACTAGCTCATAAAAGGCATATAAAACTATTTTTATTATTTATATTTATGGATATTGATATGGTATAATGTGCTCGTTGTTCGAGCTGGTGTAAGTTGAGCTAGGGTTGGACCAGAAGATCAGATTAGGAGAAGGTGGAGCTGCTACAACAACCTTACCCGAGTGTGATAAGGTCAAATTATATAGTGTCGAGCTATGATGGGAAGTTAGGGATGATTTTCCTTAAGCTCTCTAATACTGCTATATAAAAAAAATAAGATATAGATTGTAATTATAAATCTATTTTCTATCTATCTTAATTTTCAATTAATTATAAATATGTTTTTAATCTATTTTTCTATTTATATATCGATCTATCTATATATCTATATGTTTGTATATGTGTGTGGGGATGTGTTTGGGTGGGTGTGTCCCGTTAATATAAATAAATAATTTTTTCTGCTTAATTTTTCTATTAATTGTAAATATGTTTTAAATTTATTTTTCTATCTATCTATCTGTCTGTCTGTATGTATGGGGTGTGTGTGGGTGGATGTGTGTGTTTGTGTGTGTAAGTGGACTATGCTTGTTTACCAAATATTTTACTCACATTTAATTCATACTCAAAATCTAACTCAATCTCACTATCTTTAATATTGTTCATATAATTAAATAATACAAACTAATCATTCTTACATCAAATCAATATTAATCATTTTATTTTAAATATTATTTTAATACATTCTTAAAATCTCACTAACAACTAACCATTCCATATTTTTTAAAATTAACTCTAATTAATCAAAATTACTCATGTTGAATGGATTATTTGGTAAATACGCATGCACTTTTTTTAATTATTCTATTATGTAATAGTTACTACAAATACTAAATGGCTATAGATTCATACTAAATGGTATATGAAAGTTACATACTTATCTAAAAAATTATTGCAAATTTTTTTATTCGAGCTATTTATTTGAAAATCAATAATATTTTTTTCATCTCATTAAATAATTTTTCTTTAAAACTAACTGATTTTATTGAAATGACTAGACCCCTTAAAATTGAATAAATAATGATGATGATGATGATGATGATGATGGATTTTTAGATGATTAAATTGTCATGATCCTTCACAAGAAGAAAAAGTATATTATTTCCATTTTATGTCATTATTATAATAATTCATATGTAATATAAATTGCTTATATTTATATTTCTTATTTTTACTAATGGTCAAAGTTTTAAAATATAACATATCCATTATCCAACTTATAATTTTAAATATTATATCTATCTATATTGCATATAACATTTAGTTTGCATCATTGCATTTATATGAACATATAATCAAGTACTAATTCATGTAATAACTATAATGAACTCATAATTATATGATAAATGTTCTTGTAATTTAGAAAAACTGAATTATATATGATTGTGCAAATCTCTTAATTATTAAAAGTAGCAATATTTATGAAATCAAATCCTAGGGCTTTATAATGAAATCCATCCATAATATATAAATTAATACATTTGCCTTATATTAGATATCCGCAATTTTAACAGCAAAAAAGAAAAAAATGAAACTCCTTTATACCCTTGCTTTTAATGTAACCACATATTTTTCACTTCCAAATCAGTACCTCTCGCCTATTATAAAAGTGAGTGAAATGAGAAGACAAAATTAATCTCTTCAGAGCTCTCAGTGATTCCGAGTAGGGACTGTAAGTGATATTTATTTAACATTTCTTTTAACAAATACCAAACAAATATAAATTTGATAATTATAATAAACTAAGATAATTATAATGAGGATGGTAACAAGCTTGAACACTGAAGCCGGAAATGAATTTTCCAAGTACGACGATGATGGCCGTGCTAAACGAACAGGTAATTTCTTTCTTTCATTCTATAAGTGATTTATTTGTTTTTTTTCAGTTTGGGACATTAAATTGGTGGTTATGTTTAGTTTGATACTTTCAATTTACTTTTATGTGAGAACAATTTCCAATGATAATAATTTAAGTAAAATACTATTTTTTAAATATTTAAGTATAATAAATTTAATATTTGATTAATATATGTTCATGTATACTGTTTGAAAGTTTATAAAATTCATGATTTCTAATGTGAAATTCGATAAATTAGTAGTAGTTTATTCATAAATCATTGTTATGAATATTTTTATTGTTCTTTTTCTTGAATAAATCATTAAAGATTCAAAATAGTTGTTTATATTTATACTTATAAGTTTTGCAAACTTATTTGGATAAAAATACAAAATATAGTCATTTTTATTTTCATTATTTAAAAATATTATGTAATATATTTTATTACTTCTTCTATGAGTTAAATTAATTTCAATTGTTATTTTCTTTAATATCATTTATGTTAATTGATCATGGGCCGAGAAGTATAATTGAGATTTGAGACATTACAATTTATATTCTAATAAAGGATTATAATTAAAAAAAAATCATAAGTTTATAATTAACGATAAATCTTTAATTATTGTAACCTAAACATCCTCTACAATATGCATAATCTTATAATTATCTTATACTAGTACGATACCCGTGTAATATAAAAAAAAAATTGATACTTGTATAAGAAAAATGAATAAAATAATTATATTCTTATCATTAAATTATAAAAAACAAAGAATTGAAAAAGTGATATTATTTAACATGAAACCGTGTACTAACTTAATTTGTTAAAAATAATATTTGTTAATTATATTTATTAAATTATATATGTCCAAGACAAATAATATCTATAATACCATAAATTTGACTTTGAACTTTGTAATTTTCTTAAAAGCCTTATTGTAATGATTGATTTCTCATATATTAATTTTTAAATATTTTTAATTTTATAATATTTAGTGATTTAAAATATAAAATTAATAAATAAGAGAGAGAGAGTCTCAGAGAGATCTTCCCTTTTTTTATTTTTTTCTTGATTGCATTAAGATATTAGTTTTGGAACTTCTTGCCAAAATTAAAATCTTACACTCAAACGATGGCTCAAGGCTCAACTATCGACAAATTCAGGCCTACCCATCTTTCGAGACTCAAATTATTAAAAAGCTAAATATAGACACTGTTAAATATTTTTCTTTATAAGTGAAACATTCGCACATGAATGAAATTTGAAAAATGGAATAAAAAACTGAAAGATAATACTTTCATATATCTTTCAGTTTTCTTTTTTTTGGAAACGATAGGTAATATTATAAATCAAGATGTACAAATGTGCGAATACACAACCACTGACTGAATAGAACAGCTAACAACTGAAAAAGTGGGAGGACAGGTCAGAAGACCGCCTAGAATCCCGACACTAACAAAGCTAGAATAACAACACTCGCAACTACACTGAACCAATCACACAAACAAAAACGAAAACTACTAAAAAAAGATCCCACCAGGATAATATACGAGTGTCCGATTCTAATAGAATAATAAATTGACACTCGGACACATAGGACCAACGCCCAAACCAAAAACACAGACCTAAACAATACAAACACAGACGGCACAAAACAACATAAAGCAAAAACAATCAATTTTTATTTATATTTGAGTTTTTTTTTTATTTATAAACATTATATTTTTATAATTCGTGTGACATACAAAAAACAGTCGATTTTTATCATCTATGTTTCCTTTTTATTTATATTCGAATGTTTTTTATTTATCTTTTTGACAAATATGTTTAGAGTTTTAAATTGATAACTTTATATATTTTGTTTTTCAGATCAATATACTACCTTTTGGGTCTCGATTCGATAAATAACTATCATTCAGACCCTAAATTAATATATTCTATCCTAGAAAGCTCTAGATTGATAGTCAATACATTTTTTATTTTTGGAATGCGAAGTTATAATTAAATCTCAAAATTATGACCTGATGATAGTGGTGCTGCACTCTTTGGGTGTTAAACAGGAACAATGTTGACAGCAAGTGCGCATATAATTACTGCCGTGATTGGGTCAGGTGTATTATCTCTAGCTTGGGCCATTGCTCAATTGGGCTGGGTTGCTGGGCCCATTGCCTTGTTGGCGTTTTCAGTTATTACCTGGTTTACATCTATACTATTGGCTGATTGCTACCGATCCAGTGATGGTACAAGAAATTACACCTACAAAGAGGTTGTCAAGTCCCATCTAGGTAAAAAATTAATGTTTTTATTGTATTGGTAAGTTATATTCTAGGCATGCAATCAATTTATTGAGACCAAAGTGAAGCTTTGTGAGAAACAACATATCAAGAATTAAGGTAAATTTATTACAATTTTAAAATATCGACATTTTTTCGTGATACTTTTTTAACAAAAAATATTGATTTTGTTCATATTCTATTTCTTCAAATAGAGATACCACATTTTTTCTATAAAAAGTTTGGACTTTTGACACAGTTTAATTAGTGAGTACTTAATTACAAGATTTTTTTCAAATGATTTGTGTGCAGGAGGATTGAATGTTCAGCTTTGTGGGATTGCACAATATAGCAATCTTGTTGGAATAACCATTGGATACTCTATCACAGCCTCTATCAGCATAGTGTAAGTACTGTTGGTTGTGTTAATTGAGAGTCCTTAGCTGAATTAGTTAGAAGATCTCATAATAATTGTACATATGTAAGACTCTTGTAGACTTAATAAACGTTTAAGCCTTATTGTGAAGATCAATTGCCTAAGCATTTGAATGAAAATATTTTAATGTACAAAAGTAGTTAAAAACTGCTAGTCTTTAATTTTAACTCTATGCTACTTTCAAGTGCATTTGAAATGCTCTTTTGCTTTAGAATCAATGTGTGACTATTGTGTGTTTCATTAAAACCATTCAAATTAATAGAAAATGCTACTCTTTAATTAGTTGTCCATCTCATTTTTTCTTTTCTTTATTTCCTTTGTCCTTTGGGACATCAATAACGGTGAATATATATTGTTAGAATATTACTTGTGAGTTGTCCCACATCGTTCATATATGGAAAATAGACCCACCTTATAAGACTAATGGGCTACTCCTCCTTCCACCAATTGGTTTTGGGATGGAACCCCATTTGGGCTTCATATGGGCTTTTCCCTTCTTTCATGGTGTCCTTCATGGTAGTGGGCCAGCACCCATTTTCCCCCAGTTTCTGTCATGGTATCAGAGCCGGTTCTATCTTGGACCGTGTGATGACGTACCCATTGTTTATCCCCCACGTACCCGTTTATGGGAGTTCTGTCATGGTATCAGAGCCGGTTCTATCTTGGACCGTGTGATGACGTACCCATTGTTTATCCCCCACGTACCCGTTTATGGGAGTCTGTTTGTAGTAGGGCTTGGGGCACCCAGCCCAGTTGGGTTTGGGCTTATATAGAAAATAGACCCACCTTATAAGACTAATGAGCTACTCCTCCTTCTACCAATTGGTTTTGGGATGGAACTCCATTTGGGGTTTGGGCTTATATGGAAAATAGACCCACCTTATAAGACTAATGAGCTACTCCTCCTTCCACCAATTGGTTTTGGGATGGAACTCCATTTGGGCTTCATATGGGCTTTTCCCTTCTTTTATGGTGTCCTTCATAGTAGTGTGTCAGCACCCATTTTCCCCTAGTTTCTGTCATATATTATAGAAGGTGACAGTGTTTACAGAGATTATTATTGTTAATATATTTACCTGAACTCATATTTAATGTATTTTATTTATTTATTTTTATCAGGGCCATCAAGAGATCAAACTGTTTCCACCAGAATGGCCATGAAGCTGGCTGTCACATATCAAACAATCCATACATTATGACTTTTGGATTAATACAATTAGTTCTCAGCCAAATACCAAACTTTCATGAGCTATCAATTCTTTCTTTTGTAGCAGCTGTTATGTCTTTTGCTTACTCCTCCATTGGCCTTGCTCTCTCCATAGCCAAGATTGCAGGTCACCAATTATTACATTATTATTACCAATAATAGTGAAACATGTTTAATTTAACTATATATATAAATAATTGAGCAAAAATAATAAATTATTCCCTCTATCATCTATATAGAAGGAGGACATGTGGAGAGTAGCCTCACCGGAATACCGATTGGAGACAAAATGTCTGGCATGGACAAGATGTGGAGTTCCTTTAATGCCCTTGGCAACATTGCATTTGCTTATGCTTTTTCTACTGTTCTTATAGAGATACAGGTATCATCAATATTACAATATTACACATTCGTTTTTTTTTTTTAAGGTGAATATGAAAAACTGTAATTTGTCATTGCATTCTACGTTTGGCTTCTCATAGGACACGATAAAAGCAGGGGTGTCTGAGAGCAGAGTAATGAAGAAGGCTACTTTAATTGGAAACTCAATCACAACAGTCTTTTATATGCTATGTGGTGTTTTGGGATATGCCGCGTTTGGCAATGACGCGCCTGGAAATTTCCTAACCGGATTCGGATTCTATGAGCCATTTTGGCTAGTCGACATTGCTAATCTTTGCATTGTAATTCATCTCACTGGAGCTTACCAGGTAATCAATTGCTATGCTATTGTTGACTTTTGGTGCAAATTTTGTTCCCTTAGTGTTGTAAATCATGTTAACTCTTAATTGCTTATTCGTCCAGGTGTTTGCACAGCCAGTATTTGGATTAGTAGAAAAATGGAGTAGAGAAAAATGGCCAGAAAGTGGATTTATTGTGGGAGAGTACCCTTTAGCATGTGGGAAGTTCAACTTGAATATGTTGAGGCTTGTTTGGAGGAGTTGTTACGTGATATTCACGACTGTTCTTGCTATGTTATTCCCTTTTTTCAACAACTTTGTGGGGCTTTTAGGAGCGGCTTCTTTTTGGCCGTTGACTGTTTATTTCCCGATAGAGATGTACATTGCGAGGTCGAAAATCCCTAGATTTTCCTTCACGTGGATTTGGATGCAAATATTGAGCGGCATTTGCCTTATTATATCACTACTTGCGGCTGCTGGGGCTATTGAAGGACTCATTGAGTCACTCAGGACTTTCAAACCATTTCATTCAGTTTCATAATTCATTTGTCTTGGTGATTTGAATGTGTGGTTTAGTAAACGGACTTGCATTTACTTTCGAAGTAGTGGTTTTATGAATTGGATTGAATGTTGTGACGATTTGGTTTTTCAGATGTTATAATTAAACAAAATACATCATATATCTTTCGAAGTAGTCGGTTCATTACCTTGATATTTATGTATATGTCTATCTCCCTTGCTTAGTTACCTTTATTTTTGCTCTAAGGTTGTGAATTCAATTGATAATTCATATCAATTTGAACTATTTTCAAAAGAATAATTGATGGTATTGACATATTTGAAGATAATTAAAATTACTAATCATGGAACCGAATTTAGTTATGTCCATATAATCTTAATCATCTATCATTTCCGCATTTATCAGTTTTGTTGTAATGTTGTAGGATTTGTTGAGTGGACTTACTGATTCATGGATCCATTAGATTTTCCTTGGCTTTATTCTATATGATATGAGATACTACACCAGGTTGAGTACGATCTAAGGAGCGATTTGACTTAACCGGATGAACTGGCAGGTCGATCGAACATCAAGGGCACCATAGGTGGAAGAATCACCAGATCGATGGTGATTTCATATATAATGGAGATGGTCAACAGGTCGATTTAGGGATCTCGACTAGCCTAATAGAAACTCAACCTGGAGGTAATCAGGTCGGTAGCGAGAGGTCAAAGCAATTTGGTTGAAGGGTAGCTGAGTTGGTCGCGCAGTTGAACACCCTAATGAGATAAGCTAATGTGAACACACCACTTAAGAGATAAGAAGTATATTATTAAGATAAGAACCACACGTGGATAGGACCACGTGGCGTAACAGAATCAGATAGTTTAGGCACTTGAGCAGTACAAATGGCTAGCTCGGGCAATCGGGTAGCCGAACCGAAAAGTCTTGGGTAACAGAGTAACACTCTTCTATAAAGGAGTGAGGTGTGACTATTTAAACTCTACATACTCTTATACACTTACAAACTATACAGTTATTGTTCATCGTCTTCTTCATACATATTTTGGCTTGATCGTAGGAGTCTCTACGTCGAGACCACTCCCGACACTGTTTTGCAAGTCTATCGAATCGGTCGAGTGCGGATCCAAGGTTGCAGAAGCCGACCGAGGTCGTTTTCACACCACTATATGTTTGTCCATGCCAGTCTGTATTTTCGTTAACGAAAATCTTTTGCGTGTTATAGGATAAATATCTAGCATATGTTAATGAATAATTGATATGTCAACTGTTAAGAATGCCAAGTATCATTACATTTATGTTTCTAATCTTGGAGGGATCTCATACACAATGTTTTGTGCACTATTGGAAGTGAAGGTCAGAACTGAGATCCCACTAACATTAAGTTATTGGTTTTATTGGTGGTTATTGGTTACATTTTTAACCTTGAGATTTTCGGATAATGTCCCACCGAGTCAAATATTTGTCAGGAGAACAGTGTATTAGCTTTGCCTCATGCATGTAAATATAGATTTATATTGTTCAAAATTCAAATAAATTATGAATTGCTCATGAAGATTTTCAATTGAAAAGTTGGAGCATGAAATATGGGTGACATTATGTTCAACTTATTTACTTGCGCTCTTTGTTTTTGTGTACGCTCAGCTTATAACTATTTACTGTTAATTCTTGTAATCATGTTATGTTTGTGCCGGTGCTAGCAACTTCTTACTTTATTATAAATCTTATGATTGAGAAACATGAAAGCGCATTCCGTTTAGGATATAAAAGAAATGATGTAAAGCAAGAATGTGCCACTGTGCTTGGCACAACCGAAGTCTTCTAGTAATAAGATATGAATTATGATCTTGCTTGTTTTTCACTGGAATGGTAAATGAGAAGTATTGGTTATAAAATATGAGGTTTTGAGATCAGAAAAATATATATGATTTTTATGAATACCACAATATTTATTTTTTGAAAAATATGAAGAATAATGGAACATATTTTTTTAATCTAAAAGACTATGAAAATAATGGGAGGAATAATGATAATCACTTCTCACACAATCTTTTGTTCTTCAGCAACACTTCCACAGATAATAAAATTTGTTAAAGCCAAACACGGTGCTACGAAACACAAGACAAGAGCCTCTGGCTCTGAGGTTTCGGACTCAAACCCGGGGCAGCCCGATTCCCAACGGTTCGCTCTCTCCATCCAAAATCCTTTCAATTGGGTAGCTCGGGGCTGCCCAGGCGCGCGCGGGGCCTGGGCAGCTTGCACTTCTTCACGTCTCGGGCTCGTTTGGGCTCGTCCGAACTCGGAATTGAGTTCCGTTTTTTCCTATGCATTGCCAATGAAGCCCTCTACACAATGGTGCTTTCAAATTCAATTTATTATTGTAAACCTATTCTCCCAAATCTTTTGACTTGAAGTTGGCAGCTTCCGTGTGCAACTTCACATATCGGGCCCGTTCGGACTCGTACGAACTCGAAATCGAATTCTGTTTTTTCCTATATATCGCCAACGAGCTCATCTATCCAACCATGATTTCCAGGCCCATTTTCGAGCTAAATCGATTCCTCACAGGACTTGTGACCGGCACACTAAAAACAAGAAGAAAAACGTAGAAAACCGACAAAATACACGAAAAACACATAAAAAGCCAAACTAGAACAAGACGTACATAGACTACAAAACGAACTAAAAACCAACTAAAAGACCTAATATGGGGGAAAAAGAAAGGCAAAATGACAACGAAAAACGAAACAAAAATGGGACAAACACACACACTTGAACAAAATAGAACAACAGGAAAAAAAAAAAAAAAAG